GTCCCGGTCGTGTTGTGACGGTGTCCCGGTCATGTTTTGATGGTGTCCCGATCATGTGATGGTGGCGCGGTCATGTTGTGATGGTGTCCCGGTCCTGTTTTGATGGTGTCCCGGTCATGTTTTGATGGTGTCCCGGTCATGTTGTGATGGTGTCCCGGTCATGTTTTGATGGCGTCCCGGTCGTGTTGTGACGGTGTCCCGGTCATGTTTTGATGGTGTCCCGGTCCTGTTGTGATGGTGTCCTGGTCATGTTTTGGCGGTGTGCCGGTTATGTTTTGATGGTGTCCGGGTCATGTGACGGTGTCTCGGTCATGTTGTGATGGTGTCCTGGTCATCTGTCATGTCATGTTGGTGTCCCGGTCACCTTGTGACGGTGTCCCGGTCATGTTGTGATTGTGTCCCAGTCATGTTGTGACGGTGTCCCAGTCATGTTGTGATGGTGTCTCGCTCATGTTGTGACGGTGCCCCGATCCATGTTTTGATGGTGTCCCGGTCATGTTGTGATGGTGTCCTGGTCATGTTTTGGCGGTGTGCCGGTCATGTGACGGTGTCCCGGTCATGTTGTGATAGTGTCCCGGTCATGTTGTGATGGTGTCCCCGTCATGTCATGCTGGTGTCCCGGTCACCTTGTGATGGTGTCCCGGTTATGTTGTCATGGTGTCCCAATCATGTTGTGACGGTGTCTCGGTCATGTTTTGATGGTGCCCTGGTCATTTTGTGATGGTGTCTCGGTTATGTGATGATGGTGTCCAAGGAAGAGATGGTCGATGTGTTGAAAACAGCCGCTGTTTCCAGATTTTTCTTTTTGTCCCGGTTTGTATCTTGCTATTGGGGTCTCCAGCTGGGCTAATTTTTTAAAGCCCACCATAGCTCTGGTAGATTAGAACTATCATGTTCTATCTTTGATACTAGGAAGAGACGTTTGAAGGATTGTTGGACATAGGTATAAGGTATATATGTGTCAAAAAGCAACCGATGAATCTAACGCACCCTCTTGCGACAGAACGAAGGGCACTATGAAACGACGGTACGGCTAAGTCAATGTGGCTGTCCTTTCAGCCCTTCTTACTGAAGTAGGTGTTCTGGATCGCGCTGGTCTCACTCGGCGACTAGGTGTGAATGGAGCTGGAGCAGGGATTGAGGTTGCGCTATCAGCTCTCTTTCCAAAAACGTTCTGAGTGGCGCTCTGCTGCGTGTGAATGACAGTCTGCGGACGGAATCTTGGGCTCCTCTTCTGGCAGCGGTGGTTGTGCTTCAGGAGGGAGTCTTTCATCTTGCCAAACATCGTCACGGATTTTCTCTTCGGCGTTGCGGAGGGCGCGAACATCTTCTCGCGTCGGGACAGACTCTTCATAGCCAAACGCGTTGCGCACCTGGTTGGGTGCGACCTTAATGGTCTGGCCTCCTGATTGGATCCAGTAGCTGCTATTGTCAGGGCCACGGCCCAGATATCTGGCGATTGTGTAGCCGCCTCTCTTCTTATGGCTGCGAACTGTCCATCTCCAGTAGGCCAGGAGTGGACCTGTCTCTGGAGGTTCGACTGGTTGTTGGTCCTGCCTCGGTGTAGATGAGGCTGAAGCTTCTGCCAAGCCCAAAAAGACGCCTCCCTCATCACAGTAATCCGTGAAGTCGGACTTGAAGGCTCCATCATCGTCCACTGAAAGCCTCAGCGGGAAGCCAAAGTTTCTCAGCGCGGAAGGCCTGAGCAAGGTGCATAGGCTGTCTGGAGTCCAGCCGGATGGCTGTGTGGAGGCGTGTGGCTTTACAAACAATTGAAGTATGGGGTGGTACGTCTCTCAAGTGGAAGATGTCTGCTTGCAGGTTGTCTGCGAATTGTCCAAGGTACTGTGGATGCGATGAAGCTGGACAACTTGGATCTTCTTGTAGAGGCGATTGGACGCCTCAAGAATGTTGTTGTTTGATCAGGGTGCGGTGAAAAGAGTTCTGGCTTGGGCGATCGCATCATGCCAAGGCTTCTGGTCCAACGCTGGCTGGGTGAAGGTGGCGCGCACGATGGATTGCGCTGCCTGGCCACGTATCGAACACCCTTGAGGATAGAGGTGATCAGGCGTGGAGTCGTGGAGGGTACTCCTGCGAGAGTGTCGTCTCTTTGCCCTCAAGTGGCACACGCATGGGATTGCCTTTCGAACTCATAGCACCGTATGCACCTGAGCGGGCCACCTCTTGCAGCCAACTCTCTCCTTGTAGCTGGTGTTGCCCTGCATCAAGATCCAAGGTGTGCAATGGAGTTCAGCAATCAAGAACAAAGGCAACAGGCGCCGGATGGTTCTGCGGACGTTCTGTTGCTAGATCAAAGCCTGTGTTGTAGTCCATGGGTGTGCGTGCGATGAGGTCGTGCTTGGTGGCTTGTTGCGAAATGCCTCTGCCAACGAATGCTTCCAGTATGTCGCTTCTGGAGCGATCGGTCTGGCGTTTGGTGGCTAGGGCTTCATACACACGGCATTCGGCCTCGGCTGCGTGCCTTTGCAAATCCTTCCCAGGTGTCCCGGCTTCATGCCGGTGGTGTTCATCGGTCCGAACAGGTTGTTGGGTCCTGCCGTGCCGACCCTGTGCTCCGTGCGCTGCCCAAGCTCTGGTTGACCGGATTTTGACCCTGAATCTGAATGGTTTGCTGATCTTCCCAATTCCACTCTTCGTCCTGGCTGTCGACTTGGCTGTCAGAAGTGGGGCCGGTTGCGTTTCCTGGGCAGCTTGTGGCTTGGGTTTGGGCTTGGACTTGCTCTGCGTTGCTGATGCGATGTAATTATTTGAAAAGGGGGGCCGCGGCAAGGAAGGTCTTTGCGAGACCAACCAACCAGCAGAAGCTTGCCAGGCTTGTCCGTCCGGGTTCCACCTGACTCTGGAGAGGCATAGAGTGCAAGCGGCGTGACTGCCGTACTTGTTCTTCAACTCCGGGTGTGAGCACTCGGTTGGAAGCTTCCATGGCTCTCTCTTCATCCTGGCCAACTTCTTGTCGGCCTCTTGCTGAGCGGTCGTCTCTTGAAGGGTCAGCCAAGCTCTTGGAAAGCGTCGCAACTGAAGCTTGACCATCTTGGACATCCATTGGAGTGACAACAATTCCAAGCCCAGCAGGGTCTGGATGACCCGACGCCATGCCTTCAGCCAAGTCCGTGGAGCTGGGCGCAACATCTGCAACTGCGAGGGCCGTGGGTGCTTTCTTGGGCCTGGTGAGCTGACGAAGTGCCGGCTCTTCAGAAACAATCTCCGGATGAGGATCATTCCAAAAACGCTGATCGGACAAAGCTTGCCAAACAGGGTTGAGATGAACACGTGGTGGAAACTGCGCAATGTCAACCGTCAAATGGCCGTTCGACT